CAAACCTTCGATGGTAATATCGCAAGGTCACGCAGAGCCTGGGTTCATTGTGGCTGCACCGCGAGTACTTTCGTGAGTAGCATTTCTTGTTCAATGAAAACATGTTGGCAAACAGACCATTTGAGCTTGCGAGCTTTAAGATTGTAACAACCGGCTTTCTCTGGACAAGCAAGGTAAGTTTGTGAGAAAAGGCTTTGAGATATTACTATCACTCACGATGATATTAACGTTTTTATCGCGCATGTTCTTGTTTTGCTCTGGCTTAATTCATCTTACTACTGGGAATTGATGGGAAACTTAAGGAAGAGAGCGAATTTTTGCTAGAAAGTTGGAAGGAAAATTCAAGGAGAGTGAATTTCCACTCGAAAAATCGGCCAAATTATCAGCAGACACAAATTACTGCTTGAAAATTCGTGTTGACTAAAAGAATGGGCAGCAGGAAAATTAGTTGAATTTTCTTCGCACTTTTGAGGTGAACAAAACTTCGCCATTTTTTGTCGAAAAGCCCCAAAATTCGCGAATTTCGTCCAATTACGCTCTTATTACTTTTGCACAATACTGTAAACCCATAGAAATATTCGGTGTGTAGCTAGGCATGTCCAAGATTTTTGGTAAAAAGAATAAAAAGTTGACACTGGTTAAAAATATATACTGGACGTTTTGGCTACTACTGGTGCCTTCTTCAGCAAAGATAAAAATGCAAATGTCTATCCTGCCCTAGGCCAAAGGGTTCTCTGAGAGAGTTGCAAACATTCTCCGAGGTTTCAACATCAAGGTCGCCCATAAGCCTATTCGCACCATCTCGAGCATACCTAAAAAGCCAAAAGACAAGATCAAGAAAGAGGTTTCCAGAGGAATCGTGTACAAGATCAAATGTAAAGACTGTGATTGTGTTTACGTTGGTCAGACATCATGCGTGATAAAAACATGAGTAAGAGAACAAGCAAAGGCCATAGCCACATTGGATAAAAACTCTTTGTTGGCCAAACACCATATGCTTCACACTCACCAAATAGATTTGCAGTGTTGAAATTGTTGACACACACATGGATAAGGGGGGTTCTGGATCAAGGGTGGGTTGCTGCTCATTTCACGTCTTGCTTCGCTTGCCGCGATTAGAAGCAACCCACCTTGAGTCCAGAACCCCCCTTATCCGTGTGTGTTAACTGCCTGTGATTGTTGATCTAGATTTATTTTTTAATTGAAGAAGCCCCTGCGCGCCACATCCGCCAGGTACAGAGAAACCGAGAAGCTTCCGGGCCCACGGACGCTGTCTGTTTTTGCACCTACTTTTGAACATTGTTGGAATTTTTGTATATGGATGCAGCATTGGAACGGGTAAAACGCATCAAAACCAGATGTGATTTACTGCAGAAGCCTATTGAAAACCGCCCAATCGACGTCAAGCTTTTTCAAGACATGGCTGTTGATATAAAACAAATCGAAAAGACATTGTCTGAATTGAAAGGGTTACTCAGTTTTTTCAAAGCAATCAAGATGAGGAACGTCTGGAGGTGTGAATGCAGGGGTGAGACGATTTACAAGCATAAAAAAAATGGCTAACTTGCATACGCTAAAAAAAAAGTTAATTGAAGGTTTGCAAGTCTGTTGTATTGTGATGGTGGATATTATCAACCCGTCAGCTAAAAACATGAACAATCTTTCAGTTGAGGAAGTGGCAGATAAATACATAAACATACTTTTAGAAAAGGAAGTGGGAGCTAAAAACATGAACCATCTTTCAGAAGAGGCAGTGGATCAGTTAAAAAATCTTTTTGATTATATGAATGAATTTAAAGAAAAATTCTTTGATATTCTTAAAGAAAATTTTTCGGCAACGCACAAAGAACAAACACCTGAAATTGAGAAAAAGTTGACAAACCTTTTGATCAATTCATTTTTTAAAGAAGAAACGTCAGATCTTACTGATCCGGAATTTAACGTGACTTTAGACAATACTTTGTGTTATTTCTTTCAGCAGTATCTTCCAAAAATATTCGATAAATTTTGTAAGCTTTGTTTGAGCACGAGACCTGAAGAATTGCACTTTGTTTTTCAAGAATTATTCAAAGGTTTGTATTCATGTTGAATAAAGATGGCGCTTGCAAACAACGTACCCACGGAAGAGGATTTTCAAGAACTCGAAAAAAATCGACCCGACATTAAAAAAAATCAACAAGTTGAACTTGAACCTGAACCGCAGTAAGAAAAAGAGAAAAATTATTGTTGCGACGCATATGGCAAGAGATTTACTCAATTGAACTCGCTTAAAAGGCACAGAAAATATAGCTGTAAAAATTTGGAAACAGAAAGGATTCCAAAAGGAAGCCGTCCATGATGTTCTAAAATGTTGCATAAAATGACGGTTTACAGGCATAAGAAAATGGCTGTCCGAAAA